AACTTTTGAAGTAAGTTAACAATGGGCCTGAGGAAAAGCACGTCCAAGATAACTCACCATATTTTTTCACTTAAAAAATGACTCTTGGAGAGCTGTCTGCTACAAAACCTTTAATTTTAAAATATATTTAGAAATCTCAGTGTCAGAGTTATTGATAGGAAAACCTTACTCATTGAGATGTACTATCTCTTGTTTTCTTAGCAGTAATTATACAATACTTGTTTTGTGCATCTTCGTGTAGTATAGGGGATGTGACAGAAAATGTAGGCAGTGACATTTTAAACAAAACAAGTTATCTCCTACAGAGCTCTTTTTTACCTTCTTTAAACACATCAGCCTTCATCAGCTTTAAGACTCATCATTGGAATACTGCTCATCAGGATCAGGCCTGCTGCAGTTTTGTTCCTTCTGTCGAAGCCCGACATATATGAAATTTGCTGATTAGTGTTCAACAAGTTTGAAATATAGATGCAAGGAGTCATAAATTTATGGCTGGAAGGGACCTTGTAAAGATGTCTAATCCAACTGCTTGCCTCAAGGCAAGATCAATTACATCTAAACTATCCATCTTTTCATAGGAATGCCTGTGACAGATATGGCACAACAGTTCCAACCAAACCATTCCAGAATAAAAAATAATTCAAAACACAGCATTATCTTCCAGGGATAGGAGCTAAATGTAAATATTTGAGAGCTTTGTTATAGTAATACTTATCATGATTTAGATCAATAAAGTTATCATCTGAAGGGTGCTGAAGTTACATCTCCTGCATGATGTGCTGGGAGTTGGGACTGGGTAAGATGAACTGAAGAGCTCAGTTCTCTCTGGACAGACAGGGACGCATGCTATACGTAAGCCTTTATTGATCAAGCAGGTACAGTACTTCAGACTCCATGCTCGCCCGTGCACATGCATGCACTCTCTACCCATCCCGAGTCTTTCTTTTATATCCTTCATCCTCATGGCTGCATGTTGATTCGCGATTGGCTGTTCCGCTTAGTTCCTCTTCATTAGCAACTTCCACGTCTTCACTTCCTTTAAGTTGTTTACGTGCTGCAGTCCAGGTTTTTTCAATCTTGTTCAGGTACATGGTAACTGGAGAAGATCCCGGCTCTCAGACAAGCTGATGGCCACCTGACCAGCTCTCATCCCCACATCTCCCCCTTTTTGTTTTTCTATGATGAATGCTGCATTTACCATCCACTGCAGGGCCCTTTGCAGGCAGGATAGCAAACAAGGCAGCATCGCTAATACCACGAACACCATTCCCATCAGAGTCTTTGCACCCATGCCCTTGCACTAAGAGCAAAGAGTCTATGGCAGCCCTATTTTGTAGTGTGGCATGGTGAACCAAATCTACATCAACCAGTAAGCCTGCTAAAGCAAGCGTTGTCATGTTTGTTTGTTTAGCAAGCCAACATCCTAGTTTTGCAAGCTTTTTATGAGGAGCAGCCATGCGCAGCAGTTGTACAGTTGCTTTTACTCCTTGTTTGCTGAAGAACACCTGCACTGCTGTCCTTGAGGTTCATTATCTACTAATGAGGCATCCTGTACTGCTGTCCTTGAAGCAGGCCTCCACACGTTTCTACCATATACTGTATGGTAATTTGATTTTCAGATAACTGTACTTACGAAATATGAAAACATACTATCTCACTATTTGCTTTAAGTATAACTTTGCTCTCTTGGCCATATTAAGGATACATGCTGGTATTTTCAAAAGGGCTTGAATATTTTAGGATCATTTAGGGTCACAAAATCTAGACAACTTTACTTTCAGAAGTTATGTGCATATTTTAGAAAGGCATATACAGATCTCTTCTATTCATAGAAATTATTATTGAAGATATACATATGCTGGTCCATTATCACAGAATTTGCGGGCCTGGCTAGAAACAAAATGATATCTTAAAGTGAATAACGTGTATAGTATGCTGCATTTCAACCTTTGTGTATTTTCAGATATTTACTTGAATTTGAATATAAAAATTAGAAGAATCTTTTATGACTCCAAAGAGAAACGTCTACCAGATGCAATTTTTAATTATGAATAGATTTCACAGGATTTTTCCAATATACTCTACATCTTCAAACCTTTTGCTTTAATTATGTTAGAATTTAAAGCATTCCTTTTTAGTAATATTTTGGTGTGGCACAGAGTTATGTGCACTTGTAGTAAACAGCTGAACAAAAATGAAACAAGATTTATGTGCCTGAAACAACACTGATCATCTGGGTTGATATTTCTCCATTTTTCATGTTGATATCATCCCTTCTTCAGATAAGCTATAGTATGTCATGATACATTTTCTATCAAAGTATGAATAGATGAATCAATGAGAGGAACAGCATGTTTGTATATGTGTTTCAAGAGTCTGATGGTTCTTTATCTGTAGGAGTGCTGAAGGAGTAAAGTAGTGAAAATACAATATTCATGGCTTTTGACTATTTTGGGGAGTTTCTTTAGATGTAGATATAGAGCTTGGGCTCTAGCCCAAACACTGGGAACACAGATCTAGTCTGTCCCATTGTGAAATTTTCTCAAGTAGCTTGCCCAACTAAAGAGTAGCATAACACTAGACTGTAAAAGGAAGATTGTGGTACATGTTATATATCTATTCTAGTATGAGTCTGGTTGATATATTGGTACCCATTCATTGGCTTCTCTTGTCTGTGCCACATATCTCCATACATACAGACACAGTTACCAAAGCAAAGGACCAATAATAAATAGGCATGCAGGAATGAAAAATGCTTCCTCTGCATATTCAGAAGATATATTTTTTCTCCTCCACTACACCTTTCTCTGAAAATTTCAAATGAATTGGTGGTTAAAAATTCAAAAAAAAATTCTTTGGGTAAATTTGGCAAGTACAGAAGAAATCTGTCTTGGAAGAGATGTGTAAAAATGTGCTATTACTTTCACGGTGTACCTAGTAGTACATTCTGAACTTGAGAAATGAACAAACTTAGAGAAAACATCAAGTTTCACAAATGAAAATATGCAAAAGGGAAAAAGTTAATTTTACTCAGTGACAGTTTACTCTTTCAGTGACAATTTCAGTCCAGTATAACTGGAAGGAGAAATGAATTCTGAGAAGATAAAAATCAAAACCATATATATTTCACTAGCTCTTCATTGTTCCTTTATCTTAATTCTATTTCACATAAAGAATTTTATTAGAAAGCAAATGCAACTGTATGTTCTCTATTCCCTTCAATGTCTTTCTGGAAAGTGAGAGATGTTCCCAGATACTTAAGAAAATCCATCAAAATCATGAAGCATATGTGAGAAAATGTATGAATTTAAATTTTATTTCAACTCTTGCTAAGGAATAATAGAAAATGATTTAAATGACTAGGGTTTACTAGGGTTAGTCATTAGGATCACATTTTTTTCTGTTCCATGAATTGCAATGCCTTTCTACTATTTAATTTACTACAGAAGAGACCTAAAACCTCCACAATGTATTTTGCTCTGTCCATCCTTCACTCCTAAAACTGCTAAGAAAGCTTGTAGGAGGCACAAGAGGACTCAGGTGCATCATGCATCAGAAAAACAAGCCATTGTTATCTCCTAATGGCAAACTCTTTTGCCAAAAAAATAGGACATGAAAAGCAGAAACATTTAGTTAGTATTAGTTAATATCCTCATTGCTAAAAGTATTCAACACTTCTCAGTCACTGAAAACAGCCACCATATCATTCCTCTCAGGCTCATGATTTGCTTCTAAGATGCTTTCCAATGCTTAAAACATGCACACGGACTAGGTAAAGGAGCTTTGAGGGTCTCTCCCACAGTTCCCTAACAATTCAGAAAGCAGTCCAAACAGTGTTGATTCATTTGACTGTAGCTGTGTCTCTCCACAATTTCACAAGCATTTTATGTTCTTTAAGAGCCATATCCTTTCCTGAGGAGAAGTTAACTTTGTTTTTTTTTTCACTTAAGTAGAAATGCTTTTGCATAATTCAGCTTCTATTTATGCTACAGACCTTGGTTATAAAATCATCAACCCTTAAAGGACAACTCTTTTTAAAGAGCTAGACTTTCAAAGTTGCATAGGTGCTTTAAAAAATCCATCAGGTTCTACTTTAAATGATGGAAACTTGTAGAGCTTTTCAAATTGGATCCAAAGTTAAGAAAGAAAGTTTTAGAAGATGGGGTGTTGTTCAGGCTCCCGTCCTGTATACTTTAGCTAACTTGTAAATTTTTAAAAGGTATTTAAACTTTTTTTTTTTTTCAAAGGCATTCTTCCTTCAAGCCACAATTCCTCTTGATATTTATAGTACACACTAAAATGTTCAGGTAGCACTTTTAAGTCTTTTTTGGTATCTTCTAGGTTATTTCTTCCATTATACAAAACTGTACAGACGCTCCATGAATGACATCTACTACAAAGTGGCACATAACCTTTTCCTTACATCCAATATTTTACCTAGCTTATTCCAATGTCGCAAAGGATAGGGGACACAGAAATGATACAGCAATATGATTAACTTTTTATAAAGTACTGAACTTTAATACAATATGCAATGATTGCATGCTTACTACAAGGACTTGGCAGTGTTGATAGCACCAATCTAAGAAGCCTATTCCAAAATGCATCCCAGGAGAGATTTAAAATCGACGGGAATTCATGGTAGAGCAGACACTTTGAGAGGTGACAGTGGAGATCAATTCAAAAATTTAATGTTCCTCTTGAGTACAACAGCAATATACAGAAAATAAAGAGAAAAACTAACCACTGTACATGTTCTGTCAGGCGCATTACAACCACGATAATTCAGATCCAAATCCCATTCTATCATTCCTAGAAAAGGGCATTACTTGCATTTTAGTACCTTTTACAGGCTACCTGGGGTATTTTACAATGCATAATGGATACTTGATTAAAAGGAGGCTTCCAAATAGTTTCTGAGAAATATGCAATCACTATCATAACACTACTAGCCATTCCACTTAAAGTTGAAGAACACCCTTCAGGCATTAGTTTTAATAACACTTTGTGGTGGAACACAACCTCTTCAACAACATATTTTTATTCATGGATTATCTCAAGTTTATGTTAAATATGATATTATTCACAACTCCATATGGTCCTTACCTGTGAAGCATGATGCAAACATTTAATGAGAAAGTGCATGCTTATTTATATAAAATGGTATCTGTTCTTTCCTCCACTGAGCTGATTTGCCCTACTGAATAAAATGCAGTGATTACAGAAGGTCGGTCTCTGTTTTGTTGTTCATTTACTCTTCAATCGTTGCTGAGGTTTCCAGCACCTCACTATTATCAAAACAGCATTCTGTTTGAGATCAGTCTTCTAACACCCTAAAAATGCCATTCTTTTAGTATGTCCGTTAGTATTTCTCAGGATACAGAATGAAACTACATTGGGCTTTTCTTCAGACTACAAGACCTCTGCAGGATCATGACTTTTCACACATTCTTAAAGACTAAATCAAACATTTTACTTCTTAACAGTTTGTAGATATACCGAAGAAAATATATCTAATTAATTCCTCATTAAGCTCTGTGGATGGAAGGATATCTAAGGGATAGAAAATGAAATGGAGTTATTTACAGTCAGAAATTTAATTTCCTAATTGCCTTTCTCATAAACTAGCGAGAAATGAGATAGGCTTATGGATGAACAAAACAAGAATACTGCCATAAAAGCAGAAGACAGAGTGATTGTTTCAGTCAGAAAGGGGAAGAAATCTTTGAAATCAGAAAGATTTTAACTTGATCAAGAGTCAACAAGATTTGAACTTGTAATGACATTTAAAAAAACTGCTCAGCTGCTGGAGTGAAATATGATACAATCACGAGTAATGATAAAGGAGATCAAAGTTTTCACTGTAATTACATCAGAAGCTATTACAAGAAAACTTTGAGAAGCTGGACAGGACAAACTGCAAAAAACAGTCGCAGTTTCTTTCTAGCTCCCTGTATTTGGTGTGTGGGGCCAAGAAGCAAGGCAGAAACACAGGCAAGAGGGGGCTCAGTATATGACTGGAAGGGGGGTGGCCTGATGCTTTCTCAAGCTTATCTCTTCACATATTCTTCCTCGAGAATAAATACAAAAA